GGTATGGATGAATGCTCACTAGCAGAAAAGCCATGTAAGAGGAAAACTGAAAACTGAACAACACTCCTGGGAGTTTTGTCTGCATATGTCCCAGGGGTTTTGAGGAGCTGCATAGGAACAGATGGTAGACGGTGAAGCTGTGGAGGAAAGTCCCATGTAGCTACCTCCCAAGCAGATTTGTGGGGGGTCCAGGGTCAGAAGCCAGATGCACCCTTTAAGTTATTGAGAAGATGGGCTGTGGCCTGTGGACATCAACTCCATTTCCCCAGGAAAACTTTCGAGGAGAAGCTGTCTACATTGAAACAGCTGAAATTCATTCAGGCCTTTAAAAAGCTGCACTGTTTGGTGGTCCTCAAGCAGATTCATATATTTTGTTACTGTTCCTTATAATAAAATTGATCATTGAAGGACAAAAAGAAAGATGTGGCTGACACTTCCTTTTTTTGGTGCTGTTCTAGAACTTGTTCCCAGTCCCAGATACTTCTCCTAGGTTGACTGCAATCTATCAACCACTGGGGTAAAGGAACTACGTTTAACAAGACAAGACAGTATTTGTAACATGTTCTTTCCCCAGCAGTTAGGGCTGTAGAGTTAACCCTTCTGCAGTCCTGTGACACCTTGCAATTCATATGTTCGACCAGTGAGTCTTTTAATGGGCATCTATCTATCCACTCACCACTAAAGCCATGAACTTTTCCGGAGATGAATTGTGCCTGTTGTCTAGGTGTCTCAGACTCTGTAGTCATAGGTGGTGTGTTCTAGGCACTGGATACATCAACACATTTATATACAAAGGACTTCATAGACTTAAGGCAGTATTGGCTTAAAAATTCCCCAATTATCAAACAATGTTGAGAAGATAAAGGTATGATACTTGACCTTACATCTGACATCCTGAGTTCAGTTCCCAGAATCCTCATGGTAGAAGGAGAAAATTGATTCCTGAAAGTTTCCCTTTGACCTCTACACGTGTGCCTTAGCATTAGTGGAGCCATACATACATATACCACAAAAACTTAAACATAATCCAAACCATAGAAAACTCAAATGAACATAATTTCATAGTCTAATATCATTTGTTGGTGCTAAATGAAAATTAAAATATAAAGGTTTTAAAAAGGCATATAGGATGAAAGATTATTTCTTCAAATTGTTTACTTTTACATGCCTATTAGTGTTTATGTGGATTTGTCTACATGTGTGCAAGTGTAGAGGTAAGAGGTCAACTTTGGGTGTCATTCTTCAGGTGCCAGCCTCTTTGACTTTTTAGAATTATATTACACACACACACACACATGTTTGGGATTGTGTGTCTTTGGAGGACAGGGGATAATTTATTGGAGTCAGTGAATCAGTTCTCTTCTTCAATCATGTGAATTCCTGGGGATTGAACTCAGACTATCAAGCTGGGTGGCAAGCACCTTCTTAACCAACCTACTAGCTCTGGCCAGCCTGGGATTCTTTATATAAAACAGTTTGCTCCAACTCTCACAGAGATCCACCTGCTGTGATTACAAGTGTGAACTGCCTTGCCAGGCTTCAAGTTCTATGAAGGATTAATGGTAAATTCCTCCAAACATTAAGGGAAGAAATTGAAACAATTCCTCCTTTTCATTTCAGCAGTGTCGGAGACTGAACCTAGCAAATCCTCCTTGTGTGGAAGTCACGAGCTTGGAGTTCCTGTTCTACAATTCCCTACAATCACAAAAGCTGATTGTATCTTTGCTACCCCATCCTCTGAAGCCAGCATTTCACAAATACTCAAATAAGCAAACAACAGAAACCACAAGCCTGTGTCTGTCATGAACACAAATGCGGAGCACAACCACAGATCAGTGCATCATCCAGGTGTGGCTGGGCAAGCCTGTCATGCCAAGACTTGGAGGCAGAGGGAGAAGGATCAAGAATTCAAGACTAGCCCGAGCTTAATAGTGAGCCCCAGCACAGCCAGGACACAACGTAATTGATCTCCCAAACAAACAAAACACTAAATCACATTAACTCCAGCAGTAAAAAGGAATTACACACCGGTGGCTCTGTGACTGCACAAGTAGTACCCAATATCCAGGTTACCCTTCCTTCTCCTGGCTTTGCCAAGGCCCAAGACTGCCAGAGGGCTCCTGGTGCCTGAAAGGGCATGGCATTAGGACAGGGGTATGAGCATGGAAGAAGGAAGGGAACACTGTTCTGCTGGAGTCCCTGGCCATGCTAGGTGGCTTAGGGACTGGAGCAGATGGACTTACCTAGACATAAACACATAAAGTATGCAGATAAACTCATACACAGAAAAATCAATATAAACAAACACATTGTAATTGAAGAGTGGTATTCCACCCTTGGAAATAACTACCACAGGATTCAGAGTTCTGCAGGAATACTAAGCAACATAATAAACACATTTACCATGAGCTGACAGCATTTTTGCTATGTGTTGCCTACATTGATGTATATGTACTTAGAGAGTAAATCCTTTAGCAAAAGTAACCCAAGTCCCTTTTTCTATGAACAAGGTTTAATAACAAAATGGTTCAAAAGTGAAATAAATCACTCTACCACCATCCTAGTATTCTTCCATCACTCTGGCCCCACAAAGCCTCCCTCCGGGGTCTCTGTCCCTCTGTCCCTCTGTCCATCTGTCCCTATAGGCTAGCCCTCAGGTTCAGGCTCTCTGGGATGCATACCAGGCCTGGGGTAGGCTGGATGAGTGGAAGCAGAATCTTCACCTCCCTAGGCTCCACTGCAGGTGCAGACAGATTGAGAGAAGGGTCCATGGCTCAGCCACACAAACCTCCGCAGGACTTCCATGAAGTCAGGAGAGGTCAGAGCCTGGAAACTCAGCTCCATTTAAACTACTGCTCCAACAGAGCAGGTGGGCCACATCATGGCCTGAAGCTCCATCCCCTTCACAGGGCCACACCTGCCACCTCTGCCAGCCATGCCCTGGATGTAGCACGAATCCTAATTGATCTTAATAAAAACCCAGAGCCAGATACCAGGGTAAATGCTGAAAGATCAGGGAGACAAAGGAAAAAGCCATAGCCACCTCTCACCTCACCAACTCCTCAGCTGGAAAAAAAAACCTGAGCTCCTGTCTCCTCCCACCTTATATTCCTTTTTTTTTCTACTCAGCATATCACCTCCTTTCTCAGCCTCCTTAGTCCTGGGATTAAAGGCATGTGTGTCTCCCAAGGACTGGGAGCAAAGGCATGAGATCCCAAGTGCTGGGATTAAAGATGTGTGCCATCACTGCCTGGCCTCTATGGTTAACTAGTGGCTGGCTTTGCCCTCTGATCTTCAGGCAAGCTTTATTTGTTATAGCATACACAGAATATTACCACACCTGGATGCAGACATGCCCCTTAAACAACCCCACCTCAGGTGAACAGACCATGCCAAAAACTGGCAAGAAAGTTTGGCCCATCTGGGTTCCTACACCAGTTTGTGAAGGGGGTGGGACTTTACCCTTAGCTAAAACCTCACACCTGGTGGATCCTTTCTCTAGATCCCAGGGTCTCAGCTAACACCAGGTGCATAGCTCTTTTCCTTAGCATATAAGTCACCAAGAACTTGAGAATCAACTGAATGACTCCAAATTTGTTTCTGCTGTGGTGATTCACTAAGTAGTTCAGTCAGAATGAGCATGAAGTATGTTGTGTGTTAAATTATTTGTAATGAATAATCTCTAAACATAAAATGTCAGTGAATAAACTTGTGCGTCACCTCTTTTTTTGCGAGATGTGAAACAGGATAAGGGATGATATGATGATGTGCAGACCCTGACTTTAACGTGTGTACTGGATAGTTTTTGTCAGCATGGCCCAAAGTAGAGTCACCTGGAAGAAGAAACCTCAGTTGAGGAATTGTGTCCATCAGATTGGCCTGTGGGGCAATTCCTTAATTTATGGTTGAGTATGGGGGCCCTGGTCACTGTGGGTGTGACTCTAAGCAGGAGATCCTGGGCCTTACAAAGCAGGGTGAGCCAACATGGAGAGCAGGTCAGTAAGCAGTGCAGCCCTGTGTTCTCTGCTTCAGTTCCTGCTTGGGCTTCTGCTTCATGATGGACTGTAATCTGTGAATGAAATAAGCTCTTTCCTCCCCTTCCTTGCTTTTGGTCAGTGTTTTCTCACAGCAGCAGAGCAGCAAATTAATCTACATATCTGGATAAGGTGTGTTCTTTTGTTTGTTGTTTGAAGCAGGGACTGAATATATACTCCTGCCTGAGTGAGAACTTCCAATCCTACTGTCCAAGCTTCTCTAGTTCCAAGTGCCAAGCATCTACCACTATGATAAATACATCTTTAAAAAATAGGTTTTTCATAGTGTAAGGACTATGGAATGAACCATTACCCCCTATTTCAAGTTGTACTACAGAGCTATAGCAATAAAAGCAGCATGATATTGACAAAACAAAACAAAACAAAACAAAAAAAACAAAACAAAAAACATACACCCTGATTCAATGGCATGGGATGAAAACTCAGATATAAATCCATATATCTATGAATTCCTAAAAGAAGCCAAACACTCACACTGTATCTTTCCCTTGTGGTGGTGGTGGTGGAGGCGGAGGAGGCGGCACACGCCTTTAATCCCAGCACTTGGGGAGACAGAGGCAGGTGGATCTCTGTGAATTCAAGGCTAGCCTGGTCTACAGAATAAATTCCTGGACAGCCAGAGCTACACAGAGAAACCCTGTCTCAAAAAACCAAAACCAATCAACCAACCAACCAAACAAACAAAAAGGGTAGTATCTTCAATAAACAATTCTGGTCAATGTAGTGATATATTGTGTACCCTAGTAAACTTTGCCTGAAGATCATAGGACAGAATAAGCCACTAAATTAAACATAGATGCCAGACAGTAGTGGCACACACCTTTAATCCTAGCACTCGGGAGGCAGAGATCTGTCTGGATCTCTGTGAATTCAAAGACACCCTGGACTACATGAGATTGACTCAGTCTAAGAGAGAAAACAGAGCCAGGCAGTAGTAGCACACACCTTTAATTCCAGTACTGGGAAGCACACGCCTTTAATCCCAGGAAGTGATAGTTGTTTGAAGAAAGGTATATAAGGCGTGAGGAGACAGGAACTAAATGCTTTTTGGCAGAAGCATCCTTTTCAGCTAGAGGTATGTAGTTGGTAAAAAGCTTATCCCATTCTGTAGGCTGCCACTTTGCCTGAATGATGGTGTCCTTTGCTGTGCAGATAGATGCTTCTCAGTTTCATGAGGTCCAATTTATTCATTGTTGACATTAGTATGTGTGCTAATGGTGTTCTGTACAGAAAGTTTTCTTGTGCCAATGAGTTCAAGTAGCATTAGACCTGTCAGAAGAGTATTGAGATTACAAATGCTGTAAAATCAACTGTACAACACTGCTGAAGTCCATGCCATTAGTTCTTCTCAGTATGTTGACTTATATTTCTATAAATCTGATGTTAAATAAACTTTGCCTCCTATAACTGGATCTCTGCCAACTGTTAGATCACAGCCATGAGAGAAATAACTAGTATAGTGGCTGGAGACCAGGGTGTGAGAGAAAAGAATTGAAAATCACCGTGGATATTGCCAAGCCTTGATTGGTCCATTACCTGTGACATCACAAGGAGTCCATGTGAGGTAAGCTAGGTATCAGTCAATGAAAAAGTACTGCCTGGGGCTGAGTTTTGTCTTTGTAGTTCAGAGAAGCAGTTGGTTGGTGGTGGGCAAGCAATTGGATTTAGTTGTTTCTGCTAGATTTGGACTTTTCCCAACCTGTTGGATCTCAACATAGTGAGTATATTTCCAAGGATTTCAGTTTGGGCTTTTGTCATTTGGTATTTACATAATTGGTTTGGGTTTGTAGCTTTGGTGCCTGTTCTGGATCTCACTCTGTAGACCAGGCTGGCCTCACACTCACAGAGATCTGCCTGGCTCTGCCTCCTAAGTGCTAGGATTAAAGGTGTACGCTACCACAGCCTTGGGTTTTGATTTTTTTTCCTGTAAGTTCTTTTTCTTTATTTCCACTTACTTTCATTTTATCAACTGCTTTTCTTTGTCATTTTTTGGTGTTGTTCTTGTGTAGTTTACATATTTACTGGCAAATATTAACTGTATAGGATGGAGAGTTTGATCATGACTTCCCATATCTGCCTATACTTCATTTTGATATTTACCTGCTCTATTTCCCTTGCTCACCCAGTGAATGTGACAAGTACTTCCAAATGAACAAAGGTTCTTCCCCCTGCTTGATCATGCCCCATAGGAAATGTGACACTTGTGTTTCTGGAACTGGAATAGTTTAAGTAACACTTTCTCTTGTTCTATGTCTTTTCCTGAAAAAGGTATTTCATTCCTTTAGATATCTGATTACAGGACTTACCTCAATGTTGTGTATATGCTATGTTCTGTGTTAATTGTGTGTGTGGACGAATCCTAATGTGCCTGAGAGAAGGCATCTTGATCATGAAGTATAGTCTTCTTAATGTGGTGTTGAATTTGGTGTGGTCTATCTCTCTTCCTTTAAGGATTATCTCTCATTAAGGTTTTTCTAATCTATGTTAGTCAGGGACATTGGCTGGTACTGGGCTCTTTTTAAATTTTACTTACTTGGTTTGAGAATCAGGGTAGTGCACCTTTTATGAAAAAAATTTGAAAATGTCTTTCCCTTGGGTGTATAGGCTACTGAAATATTTGGAGGACATTGCTGTTAGATGTGAGATGCTAGAATTCATCAGT